TCGGTTATAGATGACGCCAAATGTGCATCCAGGATTGCGTCTTGACATCGACACGACTCTGAGTAAGTCCTTCAGCCAGCTATCCGCATCGTGTCACGCAATATAACGCACTACTGAAAATACCCTCAATCATGTTGGCATTGCCCTGCATGGTGGTGTTGAGAATGATATCGTACGATTCGTGGTCGCAAATGTCAGCAAACACGGTCAAACATGGCTGCTTGACTGTGGTAACGGCTTTGGTGATTAACGACGCTGCAACTGCACCCTTTAGGCGATCATAAACTATTTCGCGTCAGACGCCTTGATTATCTGTTCTCAACTCGATTCACTAACGTATAAACGCATAGATAGTCACTAAGTATTCAGTCACCGGAGGATCCTGCATGATGGAATATCTTTCTACCGGAACACTGGATAGAGAGTTGGGCCATGGCTTCAAGCCTTATCTCTTCTTCAGTTTCTTCTTCTTCGGCTTTCTCCTGCTTCTGATCCCCGGTTATACTGTCAACGCATTAATTTAATACAAGTGGGTAGCGTTGTTCCTCTCGATCTTGAGGTCCGAGTTTTGTCGCAATAACCGCTCAAAAGGAGCATGTGTGGTCGTCCTCGCTGCTATCGTCGCATCGGAAAGCTCGAGAATGTGAAATAAAGTTTGATTGGCATGACTTCCAATGAGTTTGAATATGCTTACTATTCCGCGATGGTACTATACTCGGTAGTGTCGATAGCAGCTAGGGCCCAGTATTTTGCATTCTGATTGAAATGGACACTCTCATTCAAATTGTTCCTGCTTGTAGTTCATTGAAGTTTTGCTGACTTCTATGTTTCAAAAGAGGTGGCAGTAGTCCTTTTTTATCGGTTCGAGTTGCAGCAGATGCAATGAAGGTAGACGCGAGAGAAGTGATCGGAAGTCATGGTGTCGCCCAAGCCCATTGCTACAAATGAAATATTTGAGCCAATGATACTTTTACTTCCACATCATCAAAGGTATAAGAGAAGGTCTCATGCTTTCATAATTGGCAAGTACGTTGTTATAGTAGTATAAGTATCAATGTATGTCCATCTTTCATAGCATCTCTATCATAGAAGGCGGTCTGACAATTTCGTTCACCAGTTGCTTACTGGCTTCAGATTAACTTTGAACCCATTGTATATCCGAGCAATTATCGCCCATTCTGTTTCTACCTCTTTCTCGTCTGCCACCTTAGTAATTTCAAATGTGCCTACAAGGCCAGCCAACATTATCTTAAACTCTGCTAACGCGAAGCCTGTACGTGAATCTCGTCAGTCTGACGTCGATCATAACTTTGAACAGGAATGAAAATCTTACCCTTTCCAATGCAACCCCTGGTGCCGGATGAGAAGGTTTGAAAGGCTAGAGCATCAGCACCTCCATTTGGAGCTTCGTTGCCATGAAGCCATCTTTCCGGGTCGAACTCCCTTGCACGTTTTCCCCAAAGCTTCTTTGACTTGTTAATTGCCCAATTAGGGATCAGAAAGCTTGTGCCTTTCCTGATGGGAATACCGCAGAGTACCGTGTCTCTAACAGCTGTTCGCCTAGAGAACGGCGAAGGCCCATAAACCCTTAGGCACTCTTTGCTAACAGCGTCAAGGTACGGCATGCTCTTACCAAGCGTATACGCCGAGATTTCTTGCTCCGAGTTTAGAGGAGGTAGCTGTTTGTGAATTTCATCTCGTAGGCGTTGCTGGACATGAAGGTTCTCTGGCCTGGTCAGAGTGTAAAGCGCCCATTGCATCGCCGTTGCTGTCGTTTCATGCCCTGCCACCAGAAAAGTCCGCGCTTGGTTGACGAGCTCATTCGTTGTTAAATTACCATACTGAGACGCCACCGAAAGAATGTCTTTGTGAAGAGCCTTCTCATCGTCATGTTCCTGAGTTTTTCGGGTCACTACTTCTTTAATGTATCTCTTCACATACGCAGAGCCTGCTCGAATCTCGCGCGCCTTCTTCAGCGGCAGGAGCCTGACTGTCCAAGTCGTAAAAAAGATCGAGAGCAAGAATATGATGTTCGAGGTGTTGTCAGGCTCGAAGATGACTTGGTAAGCACGGCTCAATTCATTGGCCGGGTTTGCTAGGGAGTTGAAATCAATGCCGAGCGCCGCAATACCGATGATATCTAAAGCGGCTCTGTTGACCCATGCAGTTATGTCGACGGCAATTCCTTGCTGGCCTTGCGATGCATTGATCTCCTCTTTGATGTAAGACACCATCTCGCGTGTCTTGGAATAAAAGACAGAGTACAGTTTTTGAACATGTTTCGCAGAGAATGCTGGATTTAGTGCTTTGCGTTGTTGCTGCGAACAACGTCAGTCTTGTCTTTACATCAATGCACTACGCAGTTGAATCTCTAGGTCAACGATAGGGAAGTGGCTAACCTTGTGCTCTTCGCCATCTACAGTAAGCAGGCCATCGCCGAGCAGGACCTTCATGAAATTCTGTACATTGGCCATTTTGCGAAAGTCATATGCGTTGGTCTGCAAGATTTCTTTGATGAACTCCGGGCTCGTGATCACCAGCACTTCTCTATTGAGAAGGTCGAGAGCGCGGAAAATGCCTTGGTTGGGCGTGTTGTCAAGATATTCGAGGACCCTGCTACCGTTCTGGAGCGGCTGCATCATGATGCCTATCCATGATTTGCGTTGCTGTTCTATCGTTAGCTCAATAGCACTCATTCATATTCCGAAAAACGCGAATTTTTCTTATTCTTCTTTTTTCCTTTTTAGCATAGACACGTACCTTGGCTTGTGGAAGACCGAGGTAAGGGCTAAAGTACAATGGATACAGGTAAATAGCCCATAGCAGTCGTCCAAAAAACAAGCAGCCAACTGTAACGAGAACAGATGAAAAAATCTCTTGCGTTACGTTTTTCCATAGCATCTCAAGGAATTCGATGGCTGATCCTATCATTGTGTAATTCTCAAAGCCACTCTCTTCTAGTACACTCTTTTAATTTTGTCGAAGTAGTAGACAGCGAAAGACCGTATATTGGTATGTCATGAATAGAGTGCATACTAAATCTGCAAACTCTAACTAGAATATTCTGTTTTACCGTTATTTTCTATTCGCATGTCAAGACTATATAACATGGTATTACTGTTAATCTATGACTTGATAGGTGTTTTAGTGACCTAGACCTATACTGTTTTCTTATCATGATACTTGCTGTAGAATAGAATAGACGGTAGTATAAGGCCGAAGTTAGCCCAAATACCAGTGTCTGCAACTTGTTTGCTAAAGTTGTTACGTGGCCATCGGGGCGCCGATCACTTGGCATGAGGGGAAAATGGTGATACCTTTGACTCGACTTTCTTGGGTAGTTTCTTAGTATGCTTTAGAGTGCGTATGGGACTGTATATCGCCGTAACCACACCGAATTAATACCGTATATTAAGCCGGTCACAAGAATTCATTTACAGAATTACTTAAATATGTGGAGAAAGGGTAAGCGCATTATCGGGTGGGTACCCTAGTTTTTAGGCGACCGACCGACCCCGCGTCTGTTGTCCCATCGCCCAGTGACCATGATTTTGCTGCACGGCCCGTTCAGGCAGTTAGTATTTCTGCTTGCCAGCGAGCAAGGCAGCAAAAGGCCCCCATGGCCCGAGGCGTTCTGGACATGCTTATTCAGCTTACGGATAAAGCAGGGAGGCTGTTCACCGAAAATTGGGATACGTATCACTTGCATCTCTGGCCCCCACGTCCTCTGCTTTAAATTTGTAATTAACAACCGTTTTCAAACTTTACTTAAACGTTTCATACTCAGACTAATACCTACCTACATCCATATTCTTCATTAAAATGTCTTCTTCGGTCGAAGTTCGCGCCAATCCTGCACTTATCCAAAAGGGAGACGCATCCCGTGCACCGCTCTTTCTTTTACATGACTCTGGTGGAACAGTTTCCTATTGTTACAGGCTCAGAAACATCGGCCGTACTATCTACGCGATTCACAATCCATCGTTTTATTCGCAAACAAAATGGAGGGGGGGAATTTTGGGCTTGGTGGAAGAATACATCAACCTCATTAAATCTGTGGTTCCATCAGGAGAGATCTTAGTTGGAGGTATGCATTCCCACAACCTCTATCAGTGTTGCATCAGCTCATGAATCAAGGTTGGTCACTCGGTGGCCAGTTGGGTATCGACATTGGACGTGTATTAGCTCGTAATCGACGCTCGAAATTGAGTGTGAAGGGCATTGTATTAATAGATACGATGTACCCGTACTGGGGTCCTCCAGAAACCGTTCACGCGGACGTCTCGATCGACCTCGTGCTCAAGAATATCCCATCTGATCTGAAGGAGAGTATGCTCCGCTGCATGGACTGGTCTAAGGAAGACTGCGATGAATGGGTTCTCAGGAACTGGAAAGGCGACAATGACCAACTCGGCGATGTCGAGAGTGAAGAGCCGGCTCCTGCAGTCTTGATCCACGCGAGCAAGTTGATCGTCGAAGAAACCTCAGAGGGTGTGAGGTGTATGGTGGATCAGTACAAGGATCAAAAGAATGGATGGAACTTCTTCCCTCATCAATTTATTGCCGCTATATGGGAAACTCCGGTACATCACTTCGGATTATTTGAGGAGACATCTGTATGTTTGAATGCATCGCAATTGAGGATTTCGGCTAAACAATTCAGGTCCAAGAGACTACCGACATGATAAAGCGGGCATGCGATCTTCTTGCCGAGGATTAAGATGAGCGTTTTTTACAAAGCCATTTGTAAGGCTCATACGTAGAAGAAGGTTATCGCTTCTTGAATTTGTGGGCTCCACAACGACAGTAGATACTGTCGTGTAGCATCACGTGACTAGCTCGTAGTACATATTGCGATTTTCTTTCATACGTAGATAGACACCTTCTCTAATCAATCCTTTACAGCGGTCGGCTCTCAGCTTATTCCTATCTACTCGATTGCGGGTCGCCCCTCTGATCTTTTGAGCTCGATCACGTACCGTGCCACAATACAAAGCTCACTAAAATGCCACACGAATCTTCCCTGGTCCAGACAGATAGTCTGAATCCCATATACCCATCACGGCATCCCAATACTTCTTTCGATCTTGGAACATGTGGTAGACATGAGCCGTACTCGTATATCTCACTTTCCAAACCTTCTGACACATATTGCGTGCTTCGTCAGCGTGCTGTTCTATGTGCTTCCAAGGAACTAACTCATCTGCCAAACTGTACAAATAAAGTCGGGCAGCAGAATCAGGAAATAGTTCTTTCTTGTTCATTCCTTTGTAAGCCCATCCGACAATGTTCCTCCAACTGGTCAATTTCTCTGCAATTAACCCGATACCAAAAACAATGCGGTAGAACACATTTCCGATGGTCCATAGGACCGGATTCTGTGGAAGCGAAGTGGAAAAAGCAGCAACTGTAGAGCTGTACGACGTGACGCCTGGGCAGCTGTCAAAAACGATCTTAGATACCGGTAGAGGGCAGAATGTGTGGTCCCTGTACGCAGATGCAAGTTGGTAGACGGTGCAAGTACCGCCGCTCGAGAAAATATGGAGTAAAATATTTTCATCAGCCTTTGTGTTTTGGAAAACGCTCAGCGCAGGCTCGAGTTCGCGCACGCGTTGAGCAGTCGGTTGGAAAAGGAAATGCTTTGTAGTTGTCGCGATGACCAGTAAGCCCGAGGTTGGGAAGATGGATTTGTAGCCAGAAAGATAAGCTTGAACCTGCGCCGGGGAGGCATTGAGCCATGTGGCAATGACAATGAGATGAGGACCCTTTGAAATTGCTCTCCAAGTTGGTTTGGCGTCTTTTGGCGGTTCTCGGTAGAAAACACTAGGCGAGAGCTGTACAAAATCAAGCCCGTACGGACGGGAGGTATGCTGCATCGTAAAACTCGTTTCTATGATTGTTTCAAAAGGTCAATAGCGTACCAACTCCGGCAAAGCATGGGGTTGTGCTGTAGGTTTAAGTATCCGCGCACACAGACCTCTGTCACGTTATTAATTCCGTTGGTCTCCGTACGAATAATACGGCTGAATTGAGTTAATTTCAAACATGGCTATGTGGTCCGTGCACTATAGCTCCCGATCAGAGAAGCTAGTCAACAGAATAGATCCTATTTTTTGCTCCGTCTGGTGGCGTAAGGTGCATACGGCTACCCAAGTACTCCAAGATGCGTAGTTATTTAGAGGGGAAACTTAGCCGACATTCCGTCCTATTGATCCTGTCGGTATCTGCTCTGCCAAGTTCTTAGGCCCCTGCAAATAATAGTCACGTAGCACATGTGCCGAGGTTTGAATGGACAAACCAGGCTTACGTAAGCTTCACCTCTCGTGCGAGGAAGATACTGGACTATGATGTACATGAAGTCATCAATCAGCAAGCTTGTGGAATTCGCGATGAGAGAAGAACTATCGGAGAGCTATCCGAGTGTACAATACAGAATGTAGTTCGTGCATTTGCACTCATTCAAGACTTTGTCCGCCTTTTTGCATCCGCAAAGATTGGATAGGCCAGCTTAGTATTCAACTCAATCTTAACCTTGCCTTCCTGAGGCATAGATTTAGGTGTAAGTGTGATGGTCTCAAACTCTTGACATAGTCGAGTGAAGAAATACTCCATCTGAAAGTTTGCAAATTGTTGCCCAGGACAGATCCTGGGACCGTGGTTGAAAGGAATGTACTCCCACTGGCTACTGGGCTTCCATGAATCTATTCCAAATTAGCAAAGAAGTTTTCTAATCATGTCGGATTAGGAGCAAGATAAGGATCAACATACCCCATCTCTCAGGTATCCATAGGCTAACATCCTTTACTCCGAGATCAGTACGATGCTGCAATGACAAGAGGCCATATACTAGGAACATGTTAGAAACAGCTTGCTGGGCCACGAATGTACTAACCAATCTGTGTTCCCTCCAAGATAGCTACCGGTGATTTACCATCGGGGCCTCCACCCCGTGGCAAGGTCATGTCTTCGACGGGCACACGAGCATTTATTCCCACTGACGAATTAGCATCTTCATAACATCTGGAGTTTTCAACGTACAAGGATGGTGAACGCGTAGTGTTTCCTTGATCACATTCCGTATATACTTCAATTTATGTAGGTCGGTTAAGGTTGGCAGACGATCTCCAACACTGCAGAATGTTAACAAATCTGGGGCATAATGAATTTGAAGTATCTTGGTTTCTTACTGTTCCTTGACTTCGGCCTTCATTTTCGCAAATACGTGTGGATGTCGTGCAATTTCGTAGTAAGCCCATGCAAGTGTTGTAGTCGAAGGATCTTTGCCAGCAAGTAGCGTCGATATAACTGCATTTTTGATATTACCGCGACCTTTACCCTTCCGAATGAGATCGTCAATCAGACAGGGTTGGTCACCGCTGTATTTTCTAGCGCTGGCTTTGTCGACGAATTGGTCCAGGTATCGATCAATCTCACGTGTGGCTCGCGGAGCAAGCCAGTCATCTCGAAGATAGACACCAACAGGACTAGATAGTAGTTCAGCATGGAAAGTACACCACCTAGAGATATTGTACGAACCCCATGATCTGCCTAAAGCTATTGATTCCAAGTAGGACATCCATCGCGTCGCGAAAAGGCTGCTGATTGGAAGTTAACGAATCGGTCGACTGGCCGCAGAATACATGCGTCACGACGTCCAACTGCCATCGATCGATAGCGTCGAATGCGTCAGTTCCAGGGGTCGCAAGAAGATCGATTACATGCTTCAGATGTTTCTCAGTGATATCGAAGTCGGTATCGCGAATTCGACTCATCTGCAACTGTCAGAATTGATCTAGAGAAGAATTGCGCGACTCACGTGGGTTTTAAGGAAACTGATCTCTTGCTTCCACTCTTCACCGTCCACTTAAAAGCAATTAGCGTTTACGCCTATATAGTTTTGCCGTGTCATACTTGAGAATACTGCATCGCCGAGTATGTGTTTAAAGATTTCATGCTGAGCTTTCGACTTTGCAAACCGAGTAAACTAACGATCTGTAAGCTGCTGAACTACAATTTTACTTGCGAGTGCGCACCTCAGTATCTTGGATGTACTTGATGTTCTCAGGATCATCGGTCAGGTACATGCTGTTCCCAAACATCCGCACATCAACTGTATGATTGTGAGTATCCAAAACGTCTTTCGTCCAATGCCAAAACTCATGTTTCCTCAGAGCACGCAAGATTTCGATGGCAATGCCTAGACCTACTACAAGTTAGTCATCTCTTGAATCGTACGAGTTAGAATACTGACCAAGTGTATTAGTGGACACACGCTCAGGTGGTCCTGCACCTAGAAGAGCATATCTTCGCCTTGTGTCTACATTCAATCGATAAGATTTAAGAGCAACCAGAGCGGTAAGAATGATTGCTCCTAGGAGTAATGGAGACGAGAATATCGCCATTTGCTGCTAAGTATGAATATGACAAGGATGTTGTATAGATAGCATGTATGAAGTGCTATCTCAAGGAAGAAGACGCCGATACAAGATACCCATATATATATATTGTATTGCACACCACGTAAGCTGCACCTGTTCTAAGCCTAGTAATACTATCTATTTATAGAAGCATCGCCACTTTACAGCAGAATTAAAGGTTTTGTTATTTTATTCATTAAAACATGTTCTTATAATACTAATCTTTGATAGAAAATGCTTTCTATTTTCTAAAATACTTCTTATACGTTAAAGACTAGTTCATATTCAGATCTATAATCTAAAGAATATTTAGTGAATCTAGACTTGTGACATTCCTACTATCGACAGAATAATATGAAATGTAATGGATCAGCTAGGTAGCGTGATATTGACTTGTGGAATAGTATAGACTTGGGTAACGTTAGTACCGGTTTGCTAGCGTAGTTTCAGCTAAGCCTGCCAATGTCGACCCTTGCTCACTAGGTAACCAAATAGCTTCATGGTACGTAGCCTTGTACTAGCGAGTCGTGATCCTATAGCCCAAGACACCCCGCAGTCTTGGTGTTTGATTTGACGTATCTTCCGGCTTGGACTTGATAGCTGACTCCAAGTACCGACTTCGGTGTTATAGAGATACGAACGGTTACGCTAGTAAGCCTAGAAGATAGTGTAAATATCCACGCGTTCATGCTACCCCGCTAGCCAGGCGCACCCCGCAACCTAGCCCCACTATCTCCCTTACACAACTCGGCCCGTTTTTACTAGCTGCCTTTTGCAGTAAATGTGAGGTATTTGACGATACCGAGGTACTAGAGAATACGAGATATCCAAGAATCCTTGGATACCTCGTATCGCGTAGCTGAGTACCTGAAACTTGGAATTTCGGTTACCGAAGAGTTCCGCCCCCTTACGTATCGAGGTTCTGACGAGGCCGCTCGGCCATTAATTTACGTTTCGCTAATCGCTATCTCTCTGAGTTAGAACAGGCGGCGCAGTCGGCCTTAATCAATACTTGGCGCATCAATCCTTCGTTGGATTGCCCTGTCGCAACAGTCCTTCTCGGAAACGCTAGGCCACAGCTTATGTTGTTAGCTGCGGCCTATCTTATCAATTGCTGCTATTTTCTGACCAATCCCGCTCCCTTAATATAATACAGTAAATAACCGGGACTTACATTGACATAGGTGGATGATTCCAAAAACTGTGTATTGATCTCCGTTCATGTTGCGCATTTTAAGTCATTGAAGTTGTTCCGTTACATCAACCAGTATCTATACTATCCTGGAATATTGTTGCCCTAATGGAAAAGCCATCCTCTACCCTGCCTTTTCGGCAGGTTGTCATCGTTGGGTGTGGATTTGGCGGTCTGGTAATGGCCTGCCAGCTGAAGCGCAGACTCCAGTTTAACGACTTCGTCATGTATGAAAGGAACACTGGCTTAGGGGGGACATGGCATCATAATCGATGTGAGTTCTTGTAACAAATTCATTTTGAAGTCCAATTGTGCTGACATAGCAAGACCCTGGAGCGTCGGCAGACGTATTTGGGGCGGCATATCAAATCTCATTCGCGCCAGAGCCAAAATTCACACGTGCATTTCCCGTTTGGAATGAGCTGCACGGCTATATGGAGAAGGTCGCTGATCGATACAATCTTGTTCCCCATATGAAGTTTGGCATTATCTGGGAAGGAAGTGTGTGGATACCAGAAACAAGATGCTGGCGAGTTGTCTTGCGTGATTGCGCCACGGGCGATACCTTCACTCAAATGTGCAAAGTACTCGTCAGCGCGACGGGCCATCTAGTCGATCCTAAGCAGCTTGAAGTGCAAGGAAAAGACATCTTCAAAGGAAAAATTGTACACTCAAGTCTATGGACTAGCGACATCGACGTTAAGGACAAGAGCGTGGTGGTTTTAGGAAACGGGAGTAAATCTGAATATCTGTCCAAGTTAAAGAAAATTGCTGACGGGTGATAGGCACTGCTGTCCAATTGGTTCCTAGTATTCTGGAAGATGTAAAAGAGTGTACACAGATACAACGAGTAAGTAACTAACAATTGATATAGGTAGATCTGCTGACTGTATGAAAGGCGCCACAATGGATATTACATCGACCGAACCCAGCATTACCAGCGGCAATGTTGACTCTGCTGACCTACGTGCCTCTCCTATTCACAGTACTTCGTACTACACTCTTTGCGATCACAGAGGCCTTCTTTCATGTTGTAGGGAATAAAATCCCGCAAATTAGCAAGAACCATTTAAGAAAGTTTGAAGTACCGGAAGAGTACTATGACCTCCTCACGCCTTCGGTTCGTTTGTCTCAATGTCTATATTCTCTTCTTACTAACCTTCACAGTACCGACCTGGATGCAAGCGACTTGTTTTCGCTTCAGACTACCTGGGATGTCTCAAAAACCCCAAATTACAGTTGATCCAAGATGAGATTGCATCTCTTCGCGAGAAATCAGTCGTTACAAGGTCGGGAAAGGAGTATCCTTGCGATATGCTACTTCTTGCCCATGGCTTTGAGTCGGAAACTTTTAAACTTCCACTCACGGGACGCAACGGTGTTACACCTCAGAAGCACTGGGCCGTTGCTGGTGGCCCTAGCTGTTACAAAGGCATTGCGATGCACGACTTTCCAAACTTCTTCACTATTCGGGGTCCAAACATGGCATCTGGGTAATGATGACGTGATAGCTTTTTTTTTGAAACATCAACTAACTGACTCATATAGTCACAACTCAGTGATTTGGTACATCGAAGCTACCGTCGAGTTGATTTTGAATGTCGCAACGCCTCTTATTCAGGGAAAGGTGAATCAAGTCGAGGTGACGGCTGAAGCGGAGAGTGAATATGTAAACAAGGTGCAAGCGGCCTGTCGTAGAGGTGTTTGGGGCTCGGCTTGCAACACTTACTACGTAACCAAGAACGGATGGAACCATACGATGTACCCGTGGAGTAAGTACTACATTCAATTTGTGTGATTTTTGCTGACGTTTTGCATTAGATAGTTACAGCTTATGGTGGTTTAGATTCGTGAACAAGAAAGATTGGACGGTGGTTGTTTGAGGAGCTGGGGAGTTGCTCCTACGCGTAGGCATGGGAACATCCTTTTTGTACACCCACATAATTAACCATAGGTCCTTTCCTGAGATTTTTGGCAAAGCACAGCAATGTCTTATACAGAATAAGTAAGGTTTGCTACGACTACGACGCTGAATGATGGTGATGACGATGAGAGATAGTGCGTGAACGTGATGACAGTACCTCTTCATCAAGGGCTGCTTTTAGCTTTTTTGATCACTCGTTTTACATGATTTCGTTAAAACAGCGATATAAAGCGCTTAGATATCGCCCATATTTGTGAATTATGATGATATCAACGGAGAAAAATGAGAGCTAATCCTTCTTCAGCAACCACTCATAACCTATGTGTTGATTTGGAGTCACCATCAGTTCCGATATGACTATATGTTTTACGCACATGATTAATGCTGCTCTAACCGAGGGGGCGGGGTGTAATAGTATTATACAGCTCCCCGTAAGTTGGCCTTCGAGTCCTTGGCTCAGAGTATCGTGGCAAAAGATGCCTATACCATCCTCCTCTTCAATAACTACAAGTTTCGTAAGAGCTCCGTTTTCTAAGATCCTTTCCTTTCCAAAAGAAAACCCAAGGTACCGGGATTAGTGCGAGACTAATGAACGCAAAGATGCTTCCTGCCCAGTGAATACCCAGATTTTCATACATCTGGATTGTGAAAAGAGGAAATATGGCTCCCAGAATGAACCGTAGAAATCCATTAGCAGCTATAGCTGAAGCACCATTTGTCGCTTGATACGTATCCATGAGGTAGGTAACAGATGCGAGGAAGACGGCTAGCGTTCCCCAGCCGAACGGTACGCCAGCTAACACTGGAACAATCCAATGAACTGATTCACGTGGCGTCCATGCAAACCACTAGAGATTCACATTTGTATCAGCAATGGCCACAACGAAGATGCAGGGTGTAGGCAGCGCTCTTCTTCACTTACAAAAAGTCCAATAGGTAGAAGAAAGCTTCCAAACATGGCTGCATAGAGGCGATGCTCTGGTGCAACCCGCCCGTTGGTTCTCTGGGATTCGGGCTGGTATTTTTTGCGATCAAAATATCCAACCGTCACAAGAGCGAGAAAATATCCCACAATGAGTCCGATGTAAGCCAACCCAATTTCTTTCAGATCAAATCCATAGACCTTACTGTATACGTAGGAATAAGAACCAAAGAATGAGAAGATCATGGCGAAGTTGAAACCCGTGTAAAGGCTGAGAAAGAAGGCGAGCGGCTTTTTCGGTCATGTTAGATTGCTAAAAGTCTGGGCGGAGTCAAATTCACATACCTCCAGCAAGATCATGTGTAGTGGGCGCAACATGGCGATACTGATTCGTTGTGTAACGGGCGCTTCCTGGGTAACCTTTACTGTTTTGCTGGACTTCAGATAGATGATCCTACTCTTTGAGGTCTCTTTCATAAATAATAGAGAGACAGCTATTGGTGCGCATAGGATTGGAATGACCCAAATAGACCATTTCCAGTTGTTGTCATATTGGGCGATGATGTACGCACCAATAAGAGGCCCAAGAGTAGGTCCAAGAAAGGGAGCGAGGATGTACGTTAACGCAACCAGGCCGGCCTGCCTTTGACTCCATATATCAGCAACAGTACCTGCGCCTACAGCCAGCACACCTGAGCCGCCAAAGCCTGCGAGGAACCGAAAGACGATGAGTACAGTCAAATTATCAGACGCAGCTGCGATGATGTTGAACACCATCAGCATCGGAAGACAGACTCGATATACAATAAGGCGACCGTAAATTTCGGATATAGGAGCGGCAATGAGTGGGCCTAGAGAGAACCCGATGGTGTAAACGACGATAGGGAGTAGTGCAACAGTCCTACTTATGTAGAATTGTTTCATAACAAGTAACACGCCTGCAACGTATGTCGAAGTCCCCATGGTACTACAAGAGGATATTAGTTCGCTCTTAAAGAATAGCATTCTCAAACATACAGCGCAAGGCCGTACACAGCTGGAATTGCGCTGTGGAGAATTTTCTTCCATGTTGGCCAGTTCTGGGGATTGTCGACATTGTTGACGTCGTCCCAACCCAACTCTGCTATCTCTACTTCCGGATGAGGTAAGGTTGATACTGATTTAGGGTCCATTATGATGACTGGATTGGAATAAAAGCAGAGACGAGGACTACTGCGACTTTAGGCGAATTTGGTCCGAAGAGAGAAATTTGAGGAAATCCAAGACATCTACTAGCGGGCGAGACAGAGGGCGCAGCAGCTCCTTGTTCTACTTACGCCGAGGTAATTACGAAACCCCTGTAAATTAAAAACGCATAATTTACACGAACCTGTTGGATAAGCGAGCGCTGTAGGCAAAGCGAGCTGTCGTGTAACCAACGAAACGGGCAAATGGGAGACCCTTCAGCAGTACAAAATCATCCTAAAACATGGCTGAAATTCTACTCCACGCACATTCCTCAAGAACAGAGACTCAGGTTAAGCCCAAACATAATATACCTCTTTACTAGTAATTTCAAAATGATTTATACTAAAATATCAATATATTAATCTGGTTGGTATTTTTCTTTGCTTTTGACAGAAGTAAATAACCACAAAGAGCATAAAATATTGATAATCGAATTCAAATAATTGGCTGCTACTTCCAGAAGACCAAGTAACTATCCTAGGCATTGATAATAGCGTCCTGTATGCTCTATCTCTTAAGCTTGCTAGTGCATTCCTTGGCATTCCCATTTAGCGCCGAAGTCCATACGCAATACCTGTCTATTAATCTAGGCTGCCAAGTAACTCCAGCATGTGCTTGTTACAGCCCCCTCTGTACCCTGTTTCATCAGCTTACTAGCGAATCCTTCGATATCCTGGCGTAAGTCCAAAGGCTGTGCGTATAGTGAGTAGTTAGCTACTAGTCCCAAAGTGCCAAGTGACCTATCAAGAGGCTCAGCGCTAGGCAACAGAACGGCGATTTACAGAAAGGTGAAGATAGCTGTGCATAGGAGCGTGCACACCCTGTTTGCGCCGAATCCGACGGCCCCCAACACTAGCAATCTGCTCATGCGGGGAAACCGTAGTTACCCGGCTGTTTGCCAATGTGGGGGGAGACCGTAGGTACATGGCTGTGTGTTAAGAGTTTAAGGGCTTATAAGAGGCATACGATACTCGATCTTAGAATTACAAACAAGTTTATTTCAACATCCAGCCTTCACAATTTAGTTTCATCAATCACTCCTCTCATATTTCCAATCATGGAGAACCCTAACACATCTGACAATCTCCAAGATGAGTACGTTTGTGTTACTGGGAGCAATGCGAATAGTTCTCCCGACGGGTAAGGCACATGTCCTACTTGATTATTTCGCTAACAGATTAGACTTTCAACTCCCACAAGTAAATCCTCGAATGCACCTATGCCGATAGCTATAGTCGGGATGGGAATGCGATTACCTGGAAATTGTCATGATAGCGAAGCTTTCTGGGACCTACTCATTAACCAGCGTGAAGGAATGATTGATATACCGTCAAGTCGATGGAATAGCGAAGGCTTCTACGATCCACACGGCCGGCCTGGTACCACAAAGGTCAACAAGGGTAACTTTCTTGGCAGCATTGATCCAGCGGACTTTGATGGAAGCTTTTTTTCAATGTCGGCGGCACAGATTGCCAAGGTTGACCCACAACATAGGATCCTGTTAGAGACTACATACGAGGCGCTTGAGAATGCTGGAGAGCGTAACTTTAGAGGCAAGAAGGTTGGTGTTTATGTGGGCATGTTTGCCGACGATTTCGTGGAGATGCAATCGAAGGATTCAGAACCTCATGAGTTCCTGTCTCTCACAGGCCACTTGGATCTCTTTGGAAGTATGTTGTGTCCTCAAAACCTCCTTGATTCCAAGCTGACCAAGTTCCAGGCAATCGTGTTTCGCACGAATTTGATTGGACTGGGCCTAGGTACGTCCCCGCCACCCTCACACGTGTGACGATAACTAAGGAAGAACAGTATGACAATTAAGACAGGATGCTCTGCATCATTGGTGTGTCTCGATCAGGCAGTCAAGGCACTAAAGGCTGGAGACTGTGATGCCGCAATTGTTGGCGGTGCCAACCTCATCATGAGCCCTGCTCTCTCCTGCGCGCTGGTCGCTCAGGGAGTTAATTCTGCGGACGGGCGGTGCCGTTCATTTGATGCAAAGGCAACCGGCTATGGTAGAGGAGAAGCTGTATCTTCTCTTCTAGTAAAGCGTTTGGATGACGCTCTGAGGGACGGGAATCCCATACGCGCGATCATACGGTCAACTGCTTGCAATGACGACGGCAAAACACCAGGAATCACCCAACCCAATACGGTCGCCCACGAGGCTCTTATTAGGGCCGCATACCGTACTGCAGGAATTGCAGAGGAAGATTTTAACAAAACTGGATTCTTTGAGTGCCACGGAACAGGCACTGCCGTCGGCGACCCAATCGAGGTGGGCGCTGTGGCTCGAGTTTTTGGCAAGGATGGCATGATAATTGGATCGGTAGGTGACCAAAACCTATCCCCAAATGAAAATACTGAAGTGTGCAGGTCAAATCCAATATCGGACACTCGGAAGGCGCGAGTGGAAACACGTCAGTCATCAAGGCCATCTTATCAATGGAGCACCAGATCATTCCACCAAACGTAAACTTTGAAACGCCGAATCCGAAGAGTATGAGATCTAGATCCTTGTTTGGTTTGATCATTGACTGATCAGAAGCTTCTAGTTCCTTGGAAAGAAGCAAATCTCAAGGTGCCTACTGAATGTATGAAGTGGCCATCGGATCGTCTAGAAAGAGCATCAGTAAACTCTTTCGGCATTGGTGGAACGAATGCCCACGTATGTCTTTTCAACACCTACTTCACTAGTGATCGTCGGGTTAACAAGAGGCGTAGGTTATCTTGGAATCAGCCGCTGCTCATGGGGTGAATAGACCAAAGTTGCTGGCCACCGAGCAGAAACCGAGGCTTTCACTGCTCCTATTCACTGCGAAGAGTGACATCTCCCTTCAAGAATCAATTGATAAGCACGCAGATTACATCCAGAAGCACGGCTCATCGCGACTGGGTGATATTGCGTATACGCTTGGCACACGTAGGGAGCACCATGAGCACCGCACTTTCTGCGTTTCCGACGGCGAAGAGCCACTTGTGGCTCTGCCATCCCTGAGAACTAAAATGACCAATCGTTCTACGGTTTTCGTATTCACTGGTCAAGGCGCCCAGTGGGCGGAGATGGGAAAAGACCTGATAGAAGACTTTCCTTCCTTCAAAGAAAATATACAGGAGATGGACAAAATCCTACAGGAATGTCACACCCCGCCGTCGTGGAACATATTGGGTATGGAATCTCTACTCGTCGAATAAGACACCCGCTAACAAGATTCGCGCAGAGGAACTGAGCAAACCCAAAATGCGAAGTCAGATCTCAAAAGCGGAGTTTTCTCAGCCATTATGCACTGTTATTCAAATCGCTCTCGTCGACCTCTTCCGTACATGGAACGTCAAGCCCGACGCTGTCGTCGGCCATTCAAGCGGAGAGATTGCCGCAGCATATGCGACAAACGGCCTTACAAAGAAGGAAGCAGTCCTCGCAGCTTACTTCAGAGGCCTGATCACTAGCAAAAAGCTGGCTGAAGGAGCAATGGCAGCTGTGGGACTTGGTCCGGATCAGGTCCGAAAGCTTCTGAAATCAGGAGTAGTGGTTGCGTGTGAGAACAGTCCAACTTCAACTACGATTTCCGGCGACCGTAGCGCAATTGAGGAATTCATCGCCACCCTTCGCGAGGAATCACCTGATGTCTTTGTGCGTCCTCTGCAGGTCGACAATGCTTATCATTCTCGTAAGTAAACTCCCGCTCTGCCCATATAAATAACGTTGCTAATCGATCTAGACCACATGCAAGTCTTTGGCGATGCCTATGAGAAAGCCCTATCAGATGTTTCTGCAACCAATCAACCAAATATTCCCTTCTTCTCATCGGTTACTGGTGAGGTCATCGATTCGGCAAACACATTCACCCCGTCATACTGGCGAAGCAACCTTGAGAATCCAGTGTTGTTCAGTACGGCAGTCCGCAACATCATCAAATCTGACTTGGAAAACCCTGTTTTCCTTGAGATTGGGCCTCATTCAGCTCTTGCTGGACCTCTTCGTCAAATCTTCTCTGCTGAGAATGCGACTTTGTCCTACGTCTCTAGTCTGGCACGTGGCCAAGATGATACTGAGTCAATGTACAATGCCGTCGGAAACCTCTGGAGAAACAACATCAATGTTGATATGAGCGCTCTATATCCTACTGGCTCAGTGTTGACCGATCTTCCAACCTACTCTTGGGACCGTTCGGTCAAGTTCTGGACTGAAAGTCGCATGTGCAGTGAGTGGAAGAACCGCAACTTCCTTCCACACGAAACACTGGGTGTACGGCTACCCGGAAGTAGTCACCTTATGCCTACCTGGAGAAAGGTCTTGCGTCTCGGTGAAGTGCCTTGGATACGTGACCATGTCATTGGTTCTGATACCGTATTTCCTGCCGTTGGTTACGTCTCCATGGCAGGTGAAGGTATCAGACAGCTTTCAGGACGTTCTGATTACTCGATTCGTGATTTCTCGATTCGTAGTGCCATGATTGTCAACGATACCCGGCCTGTCGATGTCGTCACCACTTTCAAGCGCTCAAAGATCACCACGACCATCGATACTGACTGGTGGGACTTCCGTATCACTTCATTCAACGGCTCCACTTGGAGTGAGCACTGCTCGGGACAGGTAAAATCAGGTCCAGCTCGCCCAAATATGCGGCCAGAACCTCAGCCTGACTATCTGAGAAAGGTCTCCGCCGATGGCTGGTACCGGATTATGGAGAGAATTGGATTCACCTACGGTCCTACCTTCAGAAACATGCGAGACATCTCCGCAAACCCGATTGGACATGAAGCAGTGTGCACTGTTGACAACTTTTCGGATGAAACTGGGTCCTTATATGAAGTGCATCCACGCATATTAGACAATCTGCTCCAGCCCATGACTGTCTCCATGTACCAAGGCAACCCGTCACTTTTCAACCAACTCAGTATGCCTACATACATCGGAGAACTCTATATCTCGGGTGGTATG